ACAGAGCAGTGAGGGGACAGAGCAGTGCGGGCACAGAGCAGAGCGGGCACAGAGCAGAGCGGGCACAGAGCAGTGCGGGCACAGAGCAGAGCGGGGATAGAGCAGAGCGGGCACAGAGCAGTGCGGGCACAGAGCAGAGCGGGGATAGAGCAGTGCGGGCACAGAGCAGAGCGGGGACAGAGCAGAGCGGGGACAGAGCAATGCGGGCACAGAGCAGTGCGGGCACAGAGCAGAGCGGGCACAGCTGCTCCCGGCAGCCGCTTGCAGTGTGCGGGGTCTCTCTTTGTGCGGGTCCCGCCGTTTTCGGGGTCTCGCCGTGTGCTGAGCCCCTTCCTCTGCTCGGTGCCTGTGTCCCTCCCTCAGCTGTACCAGGGAAGCCACTGAAGATCTCGGGACATTTCTCTGTTCTCGTCTTCCCCAGCTCTCTCCCTTCACACACACACACACTTCTGCTTCCCCCAATTCCACCCCAGCAGAAAAAAATGCGAAGGCTGCAGTGGCATTGGGAGGTGCTGGGAAGGAAGCCCAGGTGTCGCTGCCCTCGGGGTAGGTAAATGCTCCCTTTGGCCACAGCACACCCCAGATGTGCGATGGGGGCCCCCAGAGCCGGGCACAGCCTGCCCAGCGGAGCGCAGGGTGCAGGAGCCGGTGCTGAGTGACGGCTCGAGGTTTCCACAGGGGTTATCAACAATGTACATTCCCAATCACCGGCGTGCGGTCCCTGCTGCTTTCAGGGCTGTAGAACAGGTGCTGTGTGACAGCGGCTCTGAAATACAATATAATGCATGAACCGCAATGCCCTCGCCTGGCTGGGACCTGAGATCCTCAGACGTTGTGCTGAGGGAACTTACAAATGCTAATTTTAAGCAATAACTGCAAACTAATGTCCAGGGTTTAAGCTACTAAAAGGCTTTGTTCTGATGAGAAGCAGTCACCACGCTGCTGACTTCCCTCTGGCTGTCAAAAAGTTTATGGTTATTGAATTATTTGTAACATAATGATAGATAACTTTATATAGTTATTGCTTATTGAGTACTAATTTCAACTCTCTGTTGATCATGGTGAATCCATGCCTGCTCTGTGTGTTTCCAGGCATGTCTGGGGGAGCAGTGCTGGTGCTCGGCTTTCACTCTGGGGTTTCGCTCCCAGGTTTCCCAGAGGCGATTCCCCGTGCCCGGCTGTTCTCAGCCCGTTCTGGAGCTCCAGGGGAACACCAGGCTCCCTCCGTGCGCTCCCTCCCAGCCGAGCTGCCCGCAGAGCTGCCATCAGCTCTTGGTGTCGGAGATGGGAACGTCTTTTTGGGAGGCTCTGGGCAGCAAAGCCCGGCTGCCGCTGTGGCTGCACTGCTGGCCAGAGCTGTGCGGGGCTGTGCGGGCACACAGCTCCTGCTGCAGGGATGTCAGAGCTGCCAGGGGCAC